AAAGTACTGCACCTGCCACGAAATCGGTGCTTCAAGGTCCACAAAGTGATCTATTGAGAGTCGGCGGGGGAAGGCTGGACATCCAACATGTGCATGAGAGGCAGTCCGAACTGTTTGCATTTCAACCACTACATAGCCGAAACAGAAACAGATGGTGAGAAAAACACGGTGGCCTTTCTGCCTGCGAAAAAGCTTATGGTCAATGAGAATCAATACAGTGTGAGAACCACATAAAAGCCCTTCATCACCATCTTCAAGAATGAGCCAGAAGAGTTGTTAGAAAATTGCGGAGATCTTGCAAGAGAATGAGTTCAACCACGAGGAGGCAGATAGGTTGGTTCCTCAAAGGAAACATGTAGCAAAGGCTGACTACAACTGAAGCTGGCTAATCTGTGGGACTGGCAAATAGAGAACAGGAATTCACCTGTTTGGTTGTTTGATGGGACTGCTCAATACATTTCGGTGCACGTCTGCGGAGTCGTGCAGCGTCATTGGTTCAATCTTCCAATAAGGCCCTTTAGGCTTCTGCAGCACAGATGTCTTGGCTCCTTGCAGAACGGTGGAGATGACAACAAGACATGCTCCCAAGATATCAGTGACTCAGAGGAGGAGATTTTGCACACGGCCCCGGTCGCTTGGGAGCTGTCCAGTGTAGCGAAAGAAGGTGCCTAAGCCAGAGTTTTTGTTTCACCTGCCGCAGCACAAAGCAGTCTTGAAAAACCCGGCATTTGTTGATGCAGCAATAGGTGGGGGGATGGAACGCGCGGCAGAATGAACGAACAGCACCCTGCCCAACTTTTTCAGGACATCCTTATTGAAGTTTGCAGACTGTGTCGATTTATTTTCTGTTGCTAGACTGGTTGAAGTTCTGTTGAACTGAATCTTCACCACTATATTTTTGTAGACTTGCTGAACAATTACTTTGGTTGTTGGCTGCTCTGTTTTTGAAATGTGTTGGGACTGCTTGGGTTTTGACTTGCTGGTAGCCTTGTTGAATAATCACTTGGGTTGGAGTTTGTTAAATTTTTTTGTGGCTTGCATGCTTGTTGAGTTTTAATTTGTTGGTACGGTAGGTTGTTTGAACATTTTTGGTGGGTTTTCTGCAATGTAGGGCTGTTGAAATTTGGGAAAATGGACAAAGTTTAGCCTAACTCTTACACACCCGAGCTCGTAGTCAGGGTGCAGCCCTAAACGGTGTCAAACTGTGAAAGTAGGTGCACCGTAGACTTTAGAATTTCAAGACTTGTTGAAGAAGGACTCGTGACTGGACCACTGCACCCGAGTATTACCCTGCAAACATATACTTTGAAGGAAGCAGCCATGGTGGAAGCTCTGATGGATGAGGCCAGCACTAGCTTCAATGGAGTCTGGGCAAGCGGAAATCGAAACATGCTCTGTTGGGGTGCTCTTTCCTATCTGTCTCGAGTCTTGTCTCCAGGAACCCCCTGCTTCAGCGGCTGAACAGACGCAGCTTGGACTGGATAATTTGCGACTTCCACAAGATGAGGAGCTCGTGGCATGTATTCGTCTAGGGTTTTCAGATATTTTCAGTGAGCTGTTGCTGAGATATCACCGAGGCTGGAGGCTCCTATCCATTTTACTAGATATCAAAAACCATTTTGCTGCATGAAATCCTGAGAGCCAATGCCTTTTTACAGGAGTCACCTGGGACAGCCATGATCGAAGAGGCTCATAAAAAGAAGTTGCACTGGTTGCGAATTCCTCTACATACATTTGGGAGGTTCTTGCAAGAAGACAGTTCGTTGTACCTGTGACGGGGCTTTGTTAAAGTTTTTTGACGGAAGAAGATATTCGTTGTACGTAGGGGTTCCAGCAGGGTTGATTTGTAGCAACTCGGAGATGTCTTCAAGATGGTTTGGCGATGCTGGAATTGATTCTGATTCCATGTTCTCTGATCACATGTCGAAGTGGCTTTGGTGGACTTGACCTAACGCTCTTGATAGTTGAGCAAACAGCAGGAGATCCCGGTTGAGGAGCCTGCAGAAGAGGTGCCAAATTCCGTTGTGGGACATTCACGAGTGGCTTTGGAGGGCTTTGATGTTTTCTGCGAGACTATGCGGCAACCAAGAGTATTTGGTCTTATCACTTAAGCTGAATAGCTATTGGGTTGGAGGCCATCGCTATTAGGTTGGGGGCCAACACTATTACGGTAAGTTGGAGGCCATCGCTATTAGGTTTGAGGCCATCGCTATTAGGTTGGGACCATCGCTATTAGGTTGGAGGCCATCGCTATTTGATTGGGGGCCAACGCTATTAGGTTGTAGGCCATCGCAAGTAGCATGGAGGCTGGATAATAAAGATGGGTCTTGCACCAAGTTCTTTCAGAGGTCAATAGCTCAATCTGAGTGGTGGGTTTTCATGGTGTTAGACCAGTCATCACGCAGCAGGCGTTCTTCTTGCTGTTTGTTCGTGAATCGGCAGCTGCCAAAGCGCAGTAAACAGTAAGAAAGCCATGTGATCGAACACACACACAAGAAGTTGAACTTTGTGCAATCTAGGCGACAAAACCTGGTTTACAAAAAGGTCCGAGCAAAGGACTGTGATTAGCGTTTCAACTAACGACAGGACTGACAGGACCACTCATGACGCTGGCGCCATGGATCCTGTGGCTGATCCCATTTGCGCGAGCTGACGGCCCAGCTACTTCTTCAACTTCTGCTTCTACTACATCTTCTGCGGTGTCAAACGTGGAGATGGTGCGCTTGAGAACTGAGAGTCCAACGGTCCAAAGGTATTGGTTGGAATTTGCAGCTTCTGACAAACCCCACGTTTTCCAACTTTTGCTCGATTTGATCAAACAGCTGGCGCAAACCATGGTGCTGAAGTCGTAGAAATTGGCATAACAATGCCAAACAAACACGATTCGTGGTGCTGGTTCACCCCGCTGCGTTTCCGCACAGCAGGTTGCTAGCAGGTCGGTAGCAGTCGGTGACAGGAATTTCTACATGTGTCCACCTCCGTATGCTTAACATGTGGCCGCTTTCGCGACAACATGTGATCAAAGGATGCTAGCCCGAGGGGGTCAAGGCTTCATGTGGAGACTGAGCTTAAAGTGTCAAAAGCACACCAGGACACTGAAGAAACCTTCACTTTGTTCCAAAGACTATGATTGTGAATGACAAGACTTCTTTTTGCATTTGCATTAGTTTGACAACTTTCGCATGCCCTTTGCATGCCGTTTTGCATGGCTCTTGTTGGCAGGTGTGCAGCACTTGCGAATGCCCAAACAATGAGTGGCTGGGTAGCCAGGCAGTGCAGAGCTGCGCAGATTCCTGTGCTTTGAAAAGTTCCCGCTTTCAACATGCCAGTGGCACCAGATTTGACAACGATCCAGGCACCAAATTGAGAACAAACCATGGTGGAAGAATGCTTCTCGTTTTGACGCAGCCCATCTTTGTTTGGGTATGGTTTGCTCATATGCCCGAGGCCAATGGAGATCAGCATTTGAAGAGAGTGGGCTATGCAAGATCAAAACAGAAAGCAGAAAGCTCAACCTAATAGCAAAAGGAACCTAAGAGCGATGGCCTCCAACCTAAGAGCGATAATAGGGGCAATTGAAGTCTTTGTCGCAACTACAGACTTGATCGGATTGGATTTTGAAATGGTAATTACTACTAGCAGCAACAAGCTACTAGGAGCAAAGGGCATCGCTACTAGGAGCAAAGGACGCTACTAGGGGCTCCTGGACATACTACTAGGAGCAAAGGACGCTACCAGGAACAAGTGCATCGCTACTAGTAACAAGTGCCTTACTAGTAGTAACAAGAAGCTATTAGAAACAAGTGCCTTACTACTAGGAGCAAAGGACGCTACGTCACAAAGATGCGACAGAGCGGTGCTACCCAACGCACAGTTTACCCAACGGTGGCGTGGCTATGCGTGGCGATGCGTGTAGAAGGCATGGCTCGGTTCGCCGGAAGTGTAGATGCAAAGCGCCAAAACGTGGAGCGAGGCGTGCTTCTTAGGACGCTTTAGGACTAGTAGCCGACTCTTCCGATTTGGCTACGAGACGACCTACTTCCCTTTAAGAGAAGCTCCAAGTTGAGCAAATTTTCCAAGCCAGAAGCCAACTTCTTTGATAACTTGGCCAAAACAAAAGGTTTAGGTTGAGCGAGGTGAGACTATTAGCCAATGGCAAGAGTGATGCCAATCTCAAAGATGTACCGAAGGGCAGTCGCAGAGGGCCAAGATGGTATGAGGCGTCTTCTCATCCATGTGAGGCGTGGGCGTGGGACCCATTGGCGAGGTGTACGTGCACAAAACAGTAGTCGAAAGGAGCAAGACGGGTACGGTGATGTGCTGGATTTGGGCATGAAAAGGTGCATTTAGGTTGTTGAATGGCACGCATATGGCGGCCAAGCCAAGTGGGAGGTGCGGCCATTCCGCCATTCACTCACGTGGACTGTCGGTGTACGGGAGGCAGCAGTGCTTCGATGTGAGTATTGAGGCAGTGAGCCGAGGTGGCCCAGTGGACTCTTCCCCGTGACAAGGGCATCGCTACTATATATGTGGAGAAACTCTGATAAGAGACCAAGTCGATTTGCACCCATTTGCGCAGGTGGCACTCAATGATATTGTAGTGACGTAGGCCAGGACGCACACTGCTCTCTTTGAACAATAGAAAACCTCGAGAAATCCGTTTGCAGGCGACAACAATTGCGCATGCTGCACTGCCCTCTCTACCACTAGTGGCGACTCTGGATGGGGCATCAACGTGTATGAGAGCCAGTCATCGCCGCCGTATTCGCCAGTCTGTCCCTTGGCAAAGTTTAGACAAACTGCGTCGGATGTTTTTTGTGCGGAGATATGCGTTTCCGCAAGACTGCATGGGGCTAGGGGAGGGGCATACAACAGCAACGAGGGACTCGTGCTGTCATGTTGTCAGATGTGTTGGTTGGACATGCGAGTCACTTGCTGTCAAACCCAGCCACGCTTCATTTGGTTTGTGTGAGCTGTGGGATAGACTTTTGAAGACTCATTTGTGGGTACAGTGGCGACGCCCTTTGTTCCTAGTAGCTTCTTGCTACTAGTAGTATGGCCAGGAGCCCCTAATAGCGTCCTTGTTCCTAGTATTAAGGCCAGGAGCCCCTAGTAGCTTCTTGCTACTAGCAACTTAGTAAACACATCTACAAAAGATCTGAATCTAGTTTGCCTCTTCGCCATTGAGTCGTTGGCACTCCGGAGATCGCAATGCCTGCAGCCCCTGAGACGATTCTGAAGACCAGGGCAGGACCTAAGGTGTTCACCACTTCACACGGCTATATTTGTCTCCACCATCACCTTTGCTTCTCATCCCCATAATTTGGGTCTGTCCTATTACCTGTAACAGTCAGGAAAAAGGCCTTTACTAACCATTATCATTCACTCTTACAGGTATTAGGATAAATAATACGCATAATATCATCCTCGACATACAGTTGCTGGACAAAATCCTGCATCAATAAAGCAACACGTGTGATCCTCCTAGTGCAGAACCCCTGTGCCTTCCAACTCCATGTTGTCTCATGTTTGTTATGTGCGATGCAGGATTTTGGTCATTCAACTTTTTTCTGTTTGACGAATTTCCTCAACTCACATGCTAAAGAGGGAGCGCGATGGTATACTTGTTTTTCTTCCAGTGGTGCAGGATTCTGTCCATCAACCGTAGCAGCTTCTCTGCACAAACCAGCTTCAGGGCCAACGAATCCCTCTCGCTGTCTTTGGTAGCCTGTTCCATGCTCTTCACATTTTCCTTGCGGATATTTTCTTGAACTAGTAACAAGAAGCTAGTAGGGGCTCCTGGCCTTACTACTAGGAGCAAGGAAGCTACTAGGGGC